GGACTGTGTTGGTGACCGCTGTATTCTCAACATCAAGAATAGCTCCTGGAATATCATAGATGTAAAAAAAAAAAAATGGATGTTACTGTTGAATGCTTGACAATGATGCAGCTATTTAGCCAAATGTACAAATCTAAAGTTGGGTATTAACCTGGGCAGTAAGGAGCTTGACCCTGTTTTTGATGTTTGGCTGCCGACACCTTTCAAACTCCACCACAGATCCCTCCCCTCTGCCCTATATCTGAATAAGATGATTTTTTTAAAAACCCAGGTGCGGAGTCTGTTAGGGCCAGTGGCAAGTTCAGATCATGCCCAAATGAGAAGCCCTGACCCTGCCCACCAACCACTCTATGACCAGGCTGATTGACCAATCTGTCTTCTCATGATATTTTAAAGCCTGCTTCTGAGACTTCCTTGCTCTCTCCAGCCTCAGCACTACAGTGAGAGCTAATTCAACCCTCTGGGTGTGCATGCAATGTCTGTCTTAACCTCCGAACCACATTTTTGGTGAAGGTTCTATTAAGAATCGAATGCTTATGTCCCTCTCAAATCCACGTGTTAAAGTCCTAACCTCCAACCAAATGGGGCTTTGGAGGAGTGAATCACCTCCACAATCGTGAATGGGATTGATGCCTGCATTAGTCATCTTTCTGTTGCTGAGACAAAATACCTGACAAATACAACCGAAAGAAGGAAAAGTTTATTTTGGCTCTTGGTTTCAGAGGTTTCAGTCCATGGTTGGCTGGCTCCCGAGCAGGAACATCATGGCGGAAGGGCCTGACAGAGGAAAGCTGCTCAACTCATGGCAGCTGGAAAGCAGAGTGAGGGGGGAAAGCCCAGGAAAAGATAATACCCTTCAAAGGCAGGCCCCAGTGACCTACTTCTTCTAACTCAGCCCTACTTCTGAATAGTCCAGTGTCCTTTTTAAAGAGACTCCAGAGAGCCCTCCTCCTCCTTCCTCCAAGTGACAGTGTAATGAGAAGATGGCTGTCTGCCACCTGGAGAGGGCCCTCTCTAGAGCCTGGCCATGTTGGCCCCCTGTCCTTGAACTTTCCACCCCCTTACATTTGTAAGCAACCAATTTCTGTTGTTTATGTCACACGGTCTATTGTACTTTTGTTACAGAAACCCAAACCAGGGAAGTGTCTATCCCATCTCTGAAAGGTAGAAATAGCTGACATTACATCAGCCTCCCTGACTCCCATGTTATCCTGCATTTGTTTTGTTTGCCCCTTGTAGAGAAAAATCCACATTTGTGAAATTAAGAGGTTGCAAATGGTAAGAGCTTTCTCTTTATCAAGTTATCTTGTATCCTGCAAGTTACCTTGCATTCATCTTTGATGAATGAATTCAGAAGCTCAAGAGCAACACAGAAGCATATTTTTGTTCCAAGCACGAATTCCACATCAAACAGCTGCTCACATTCCTGACCCTACAAATAAGTCAGACAAAAGCACACAGACCCAGCAATTAAAGCTCAGCTATGTGCAGTACGGTTTTCCCTACGTTATCACAGGTTGCATAATTTTACATGTGAGAAAACTGGGAGAGGATTATTTGCCTGTGACAACAGCAGATGTGACTGATCCACGCCTGTGACTGACTGGTGAGGGTAGATGCGTGACACAGAGCACAAACATTTGGAAAATTCTGCAGGAGCTGAGAAGCAAGGTCTACATTCAGAGAGAAGAGTGGCAGTGATCTGCTTTTAAGGAGCGCAAATACTGCACTTTGTTGAAGCTGAGCCACCTCTGAAGTAAGGGTTTACCATTAAAAACAAAGCAAAATGAAAGTGCCACAAACAAAAATTAAGACAGTGCTTTTGTATCATTTGGAAGTTTTATTTTGTACACATATTTTATGGCATGCTTTAAAAAAATTCATTTTTCACCTACCTAGACAGCGTGTATATGTGTGTGTCACTCTTATGTTTGCAAAAAAATATATAAAAGGAAAAATATGTATGAAATGTATTGGTTAAAATATTCCTCAAATTTCACACACAAAGCACAGCTCTTCTGTGTCACTGTTCCACTTACGGATGCAACATTACTTCAAAGGATGCTTTGAGCTGGGCGCTGTGGTGCATACCTGTGATCACAGCACTCTGGGAGGCTGAGGCAGGAGGATGCAAATGCAAGTCCTGAATGGACAATTTAGCAAGATCCTGTCACAAAATAAATTTTCTTTTTTAATTCTGGAGGTGTAACTCAATGGAAAGGGCCTTGAGTTCAATCCCCAGCACCAAAACAACCAAAGGGATGCTCTAGACTGGGGGAGTACCTCACTGGAAGTGTTTGGGGCCCTAGATTCCATGCCCAGCACTGTAAAACAAAACAAAAAAGGGTGTCCCACCATTGCCTCTAAGTCTTTCTTCCCAACTGCTCTTCCCAGTCTGAAAGTTCTGACACTAGCACTTTCCTGATTTTACAAGAGCAAGTCAAAGTAAAAGACCCTTCAGACCTCCTAACCCATGGTCCAAAGGCTTGTTGACTGAAACTTCAAGGGCTCAGTGGTGCAGATAGTCTACCCAGGCTTACAGCAAGTCTGAGTGCACAGGAGCAGTGGAAAAAATGATGCCAACCAGCTGGCAATGACTCTAAGTCCCAGCCACTCTCTTGTGCTTCCTCTACGCTCCAGCTTTCTAAAGACAGTTCCCTACCACAAGCCATCTTCAGAAGCACCTCTGCATTTACACTTGCTATTCTATCCCTGGTGTGCCATTTCCCACTGTGTCCTGGTACACTCTTGCATAGCCCAAATGTCACCTTCTCCCAGAAACCTTCCAGGATCTTCTCTAGGTTCTTGCAGTCCTTCAGTACATTGGGTGGGGACTGTGTTTGTGGACATCCTTTTTCCACTCTGCTGTGAACTTTCTTAGGGACAAATGCTTTGACCTTACTGTTTGGGGTAGCCCCAGTCCCCTGAACTATTGACTGGAATAGCAGGTTAGCCACAGCCAGACAGAGAAATGAATGAATGAAACGTTATCACTCAGCAGCCACTTGTATGATAAGCTTTGAAAAGTGCTGGAAAAGCCCTCCTCACATCCCCCCAACGGGCATTTATAATTTCCATGGTAAAACTGGAATGTCCTTTGTAGCACCTCAACTCTTCCTTACAAATAGGCAGAGCTCCTGAATCATAGCACAGGCTGGCCATGACAGCTGGCTGAATCTGTTCCCACCCAAAACTGAGCAAAAGAGAGAGTAGGAGAGAGGGAAAAGCTACTCTGAAAGAGGAAAATAAAATATCACTTTCTCCAGGAAGATGTTTCTAACCACCCTATAGATGCCTCCTCCTCCCCTGAAGCCCAGAAGTCCTTCCTCCCCATCACTCTGTGTTATCATTGAATCTCCCCATCACTGTGAAAAAACAGCAGAGAAAATCAACTTAAAGATGAAAAGGTTCACTTTGGTTCCCAATTTCAGAGGTTTCAGTCCATGGTCACTGGGCCAGGGACATTTGCATCTACAGTGAGGCAGCTCACCGTAGCGGAAGCTGGTAGAAGAGGAAAGCTGGTGGGCTCGTGGGAGTCAAAAGGAAGAGAGATAGGTGGGGAGTGAGGGAGCCTACACACGGGTGGGAGGGCAGAGGCAAAATGCACCTATCGGGGACATGTTCCCAGTGATCCTTGGTCCAGCTAGGCCATTTCTCCTAAAGTTTCCAGCACCTCCAGGAAGCCATTAGGTTATGAACTGTGAATGAATTAACTGAATCACGAGGTCAGAGCCTTCATGATACGAGCACTGCTGAAAGGCTCCATCTTTGTTTATTATTTTTTTGTCCTCATGAGAAATTAGATTCCTTCACAGGAAAATGGATACCTATTGAGGATATACTCCTATGTGAAATAAATAAGTCACACGTGTGTGAATACCGAATAGTTTCTCTGGTGTGAATAAACTGTAATGGTACATAAGATCCATCTTTGAACACTGCTGCACAGGGGACCAAGCCTTGAACATAAGAGCTTTTGGGAGATGTTTCAGATCCAAATCATAACCCCTTAAAGGGCTGTTCATCACTGTATCTCCAATAGTCAGCCCAACACACATTCGTTGTTTGTCAGATATTTGGAGAGCAAATAAAACTAAACTTCAGAACACTTGTATTAAGGGACCATAATGGTGGTTAAATACCATGCCTCGCAAGATCCCAGATGGCCAGACAGACAGACAACAGACACACACACACACACACACACACACACACACACACCTCTGCCCTGCTCCTTCACCACCACAGTGCTGCTAACTCCAACATCAAGGGGCAAAGGGCAGTGTGTGGACCACTGTGGCACAGGACATCTGCACGTGAAGCGTAAGGCTAGTTAGGAAGCAGTGGACAAGTTGGCAAGAAAAAAAGAGTATGAAAGCCCCACTGTAGGTTACTTGTCATAGTGCTTAGCCATATTCACAAATGTGAGTGTTCAGGAAAATGGCAGTGAGGACAGTGTTGGGCAGCAGCCTAGATCCATGGTGCCTGCTCAATCATTAATGGGCATGGAGAGGAAGAGGGCTCAGTGTCAGGCACCTGCTGACCTTTCCCATGCATGAAGGCCTCCATTCCTGTGGGTAGTCGACTGCCTTACTCATTTCACAATGGCGGGCAGAGTACCCGGCACATAGCGTGCACTCTATAAGTGATCGCTGCCTGATGAAATGATGAAGGAAATGAGGTGCAGAGAGATTAAATGACTTATCCAAGGTCTTCCATAAGACAGTCTAGAAGTCAAAAGATCTAGAATTCAAGCTCAAGTACTTTGTCTAACGCTAGAACTCTGGAGATGGGGAGGCTCCCACCCTGAGGCATAAGGGTGGCCTTGAAGGCATTAGGATGTTATCTTAATAAAGTCATCTCTCTCTCTCTCTCTCTCTCTCCCTCCCCCCCCTTTATATCTATCTCTTTTTCCACTCTCTCCACATCTCTCCCCCTCTATATCCGTCTTTACATTTATCTTTCTTCCTCTATATCTGCCCATCCCCATCTCTCTCTAGGCTACTGGTACAATCTGCAAAGGCTGGCCGTGGATACTTCACCATTCTTCGGGAAGAGTCCGCGATGAAAAAGAAGCAACAGCAGCTTCAGAAGCTGAGAGAGGAAGAAAGAAATAAGTTCCAGCCAGCCAAAAAGTTACCCGAAATCCATGGGGACACATCGTTGACGTAAGCAGACGCAGCAGCTATGGTGTTAAGAATCTTGAGAAGAAGCCTTGAGAGAGAACCCTGTGAGCCTAGGTTGAGTGGGTGGCAGCTCACTCGGGATAGGACTCCTTTCCTTCGTCTGAGCATCGAACGCTTTCTTTATAACGGCCCAACCTACCTTGCCATCTCTGCCTACATGTCCATCCTAATATCCTGTCAAGTTAGTCAGCTTTCTGTCACTAAGGGGAAATACCTGGGAAAAGCAAAGCCAGGAGCGTTTCTATTGGCTCACGGTTGCAGAGGATTCAGCTCAGATTCAGCCAGCTCCAGGGCTGTACGCCTGTGGTGAGGCAGAAGAATATCGTGGCGGAAGGACATAGTGGAGGAAAGCTAGTCACCTCATGGCAGCCAGGAAATGGAGAGGAGAGAGCCAGAGAGGTAGGAGCTGGGGACAAAACGCACCCTCTCAAAGCCAGGCCCTCATTGACCTGCTTCACTCAAATAGGCTCCACCTCCTCCTAAGCCTATTGAGCTGTGAGTGTATCGATGAACTAATCCATTTGACGAAGTCCGAGCCCATGTGGTCCACCCAGTTTCCAAGAGACCCATGAGATGGGAACCAAACTTTCAATGCAATGAGCCTTTTGGAGACATTTTGGATCCCAACCACACACTAACGCTGGGCATTGTATAAGAAACTTTGCTTGTCCTCAAATGTACCTATTTCCTTCTCCTCCCCAGGTTTTTGCCCATGCTCTTCCTAGGGACTGCTGTCTCCTCTCCCCACATCCTTTCTGAACAAATTCTCTATTCACCATTGAACACTTTATTTCAATGCTACCTTCAAGTGGGCACTTGCTGGATTTCAGCCAGGATGTCTTGCACACATCTGCATTTGAGGTCCTCATAGCACATGTGGTGTGTTGGCTCAATTTATTCTACTTCAGTATCTTGGTTCTAGATACTCAGCTGCAGCCCCAGAGCCTCTCTCAGCACCCATATAAAGCACGTGCACACAAAAAATTGTTTGTCTGTTTTTTGAGTAAAGATCTCCCTTTTTGTAAGAGAGAATCTGGTTTTCTCTTTCCCCTGGTTCCATCTTTTCCCCGGTTGAGAGAGAACTATCAACAGATTGGCCCATTACAAAATGCCCACGCATGTAATAATAATGACAGCAACCGTAACGACAAAAGCAACAATAATGATAATGAGTGTTTACTGTGTATTTTATGTGCATCCATTCATTTAAACTTCAAACCATAAAATTTCTATAAAATAAGAATTTATTAGCTCTGTTTTAGAGACATAGAAATGAGTCTTAGAGATATTAATTGATTTTCCCCAGGGCCATCAAAAAGCATTCCTGAGTCCCAAACTCAATAGCACCAAAATCTACGCCTATTACCCTTCATTATGGACAAACCTTGGGATGCTTAGTTTGTGTAGACCAAAGGAGACACACATCAGGGATGGAAAGGAGAGGCTGGAGCAGGCGGAGAGGAAATGACTCATAAAAATGACCTGCAGCTGTAACCATCACCCTGATAACACAGGCATCTCAATCCTGGCTATAAATTAGAATCACTTGCGGAATTCTTTTTACCTACAGAGCCCTGTGCAGCACTCCAAGACAGTTACACCAGGCTCTTTTGGGGATACTGCATATCCATAGTATTCTTTATATGTTCCCAAGGTGATTCCAATGTGAAGCCATGATTGAGCACTCAAAGTGCCAGGCTGCTGGTGAAAGATAAAATGGAAACCAAGGCCAGCGTGGTGGCGCACACCTGTAAGCCCGGCACTTGGGAGGCTGAGGCGGGAGGATCACTGTTAATTTAAAGAACTATTAATAGGTCACTGTCAAGAGAATTGCACAATATATGACCTTTCATTGGTTTCTGCCACCTAAATCAATGGGTTTGAGGCTCATCTTAGACAGAAAGCTAGTTTGTGGTTCCCAGGGACTGGGAGGGAGAAGGAGGGAAGTGATTGCTTAATGCATATGAGGTCTTCTTCTGGAGGTGATGAAAATGTTTTGGGACTGGAGAGAGGTGGTGGTGGCATGACATAGTGGGTATACTACAAATCATGGGATGGTGCCCCTCAAAATAGTTGGTTTTATGTTACCTGACTTAAACAGAGCAAAGGTTCAGGTCTGTGAGACCGTGATGTATGAAGTGGAAGAGGGGGCTGGACACTGCTGGTGTCCTTAAAGCTCACGGTTCCAGGTGACAGACAAGAATTCAGACTGCAGGACCACGTCAGGACTCCCTTGGCATCCCAGCTTATCGTGGAAAGGGTTTCTCTTTGACTCTTCATTAGTAGCCCCTGGGCTGCAATTCCTGCCCTCCCCTGTGAGCTGTGAGAAGGAAAGTTCTGCTGTTCTGAACTGACAAATGACCTCCGGCCCAAAGCAGCAACCACACCGGCGTACAGCTCTGGTTTCTAATCTCCAGTTTGAGCCCAGAGAGTTCTACTTTTTTGTCAAGTGCTTGCCACAACTTTTAAGGCTTTTTGTTATTTTGTTTTGTTTTGGTTTTCATTGTTGTTGTTTTTGCTGCTCCTGCTGCTGCTTTATCCAGAATTGGGGTTATTTGTATCCAAAGGATTGATCTAAATGAACATTTGTGTGTTCCTTTGTGAACGGACTTACTGGAGAAGACAGCAATGACGCCTCCCCCTATTAAGTAGTGGGCGTCCTAGAAAGGAGCTTTGTTCACTGAGCAGGGGCATCTGGATGAAAGTGATGCATCTAATACAGAGGAGGCAGAAACTGATCCCCCTCAGAGACAGGACAGAAGGTGAGCCGACTGTGTGGGCCCCAGGAGAGAAGCAGGAAGAGGCAGCCCTCAGTGGGAGGAAACAGATTTGTCAAATGTGAATTTTCATGAGCATTTGTGTCACAGTGTGAGATACGAATCCATCTCTCTGCTCCCCCACAGGTCTTTAATAAAATATCAGTGGCCCCATAGTACATCAGGTTTCAGACCTCTGGGTTGGTCAGATTCAAAGTCCCTTTGGGGGTAGGGAAGAGAAGCTGTCTAGACCCAGACCCACATTCATGGCAGAGCAGCCATGATATACTGAAGACGTGTGCAGCCCATGGTTGGCAGGGAGACAGGAAGAGGATGAAGAGAGAGCCTCTCCCCATGCAAAGCAAAAGATAAGTGCTGCAGGAGAGCACATTGAAGTGTCCCTATACACACCCACCCCTTCCAGATGAGGAAGTGAAAAGGGAATCTAGAAAAAATCCCAGACTGTTGAGCCTGCAGACCTTTAGTGCTAAATGACAGGTAGTTGTTTCAGTGATAGCAAGGGGCACTTGGGAGACTCATCACTGTCAGAGGCACCAGAAAGTCTGGTAGCCAAGGGGTCTGGTTAAGACAGCAAAAGCTGGAAAGGGAGTATCGGGTTGTGTTGTCTTTTTAAAATATTTTTTAAATTTTAATCGACGCAATAATTGCACATATTTACGGCGTAGGATGCCTATATGTAACGTACAATGGTCAGATCAGAGCAGTTGGTAAATCCATTACCTCAGCAGTGATCACTTCCCCACTAGCTGTGTTGAAGTAGGCAGCCAGCTGTAACCAACCTTCTGCGCTACTGAACATTGGAAATCATCCCTCCCACCTAACTGCACGCCTGCGCCTGTGTTGTCTTTGGCAAAAGCCATAAGCATGATGTTTAGAGTCCGAATGATTAAAACTCCCATTTCAGGCCTTCAAGGAGTATAGGAGTTTTTAATTGTTTCACGACAGTCCCAAGGCTTCTGCAAATTCTGCCTTCCGGCCTGAGTCCAGGGGCTCTCACAGTTGGATGTTCCTGGGGACACTAGCAAGCCCACAGCCTTTCCCTGGGATAAAGGGAGAGAATTAACTCATGGTTCTGTTTTGCAGGACCTCTGCTAACACCAACAACCCCAAAAAACAAGCTAGGGAAGGAGGAGGATTTTTTTTTTTTTTTGAGACAGGATCTCACTGTGTAGTTGGGACTGACCAGGAACTCACCATGTAGCCCAGGTTGGTCTCGAACTCACGGTGATCCTAAGGAGGATGATATTAGAGATGCTCCCGTGCCTGTTTCCATGGTTCGGGGGGAACATTCTGCTTACTCCGATAGAACTTTTAATCCACTGTCAGAGAACACAATTCTCCCTTCTCTGATCCATGTTTCAGTGGGCAAGGCATGGTTTATTTAAAGTTCAGTAAATTTAAATATGCATGAGATCGCTCCTCTCTCATAGACACTGTTCTGGTAAATGTTTTATCTGGCAGGCTCCGTGAGCTGTACAAGGCCGGCTATTAAAATAAAGCTGCAGGTCCTCATTACAAGGTACCCTCCAAAAGTGAGTGTGGAAGGGGGTTTTAGAAAAGCAAGACAGGGGACTGGGGATTTAGCTCGGTGGTTCCGCCACCTGCCTCGCAAGCACAAGGACCTGAGTTCGATCCCCGGTACCAAAGACGAGGGGCACAATCCTTGAGGTCAGTCAGAACTTGGATTCAGGCTCTTGCTTCCACCGTACAACTGTTTCCCTTTGGATAACTCCTTGTGCTTTCCTGAGCCTCCTTTTTCTCCACCCTGAGCTTGTTATGAGGATTCCATGAAATGAGGCTAAGCACTGAGTCGGCATATAAGACCAGTTCTGTAATTATTCACTATCATTATGCAACACAGGAATTTGATCTTTCTGGCCCTCCATTACCTAGAATCTTTAAATTTGTGCCTAAAATAAATCTTTATTGTCATAAAGGCTAGAAAGCACCCTACATCTAAGAGCTATGCTTCTATAACTACAATTCAAACCCCAAAAGTATAAGAACACAAGTATTCATTTATAAATACTTTTTAAACCAAATATCTGATCTTGTGCCTTGTAAAAGTAAATGGGACTATTTTTGTGCTACTTCCTCTTCCATGATCTGAGACCAGAGAATACTTTTTTATTAGACAAAAGTTCTAAGTCAGGCACACTATGTGGGCAAAAAAGAAAATTAGGCACGTACCAGAAGATTCCTGCCTGCAAGCAGTCTTCCCACTGCGCTCTGTGACCTCATTTTTCAGCTGCAGATTCAGCTGAAAAGGTGAAAAGAACGGTGGGTAGAATTTATTTTATTATTGTGGTTGAGAAGAGACATAAACCCAGAGATCGAGGAATGTAAAAGCTCAGTTAATTTCTACATTATTCTAAACCACTGGGAGACGGAGTTGAGCTCGTAAGATGGAACACAGCAGTGTATTTTCTTATGGGTTTCCTTTTTGCAGCTCTCAGGCTGAAGAAAGTCCCTGGAAAGTGAAATTGGGGGGCACCTAGACTCTGGTCCTATATTTCAGTTAACTCTGTGATCCTAGAGTTGTTCTCTAATACCCAGAATGAAGATAAATTCCCTATTTGTGTGCCAGCATTGTCTCCTCTGGTTTCTAACTCATTCCCCACACTACACTAGAATGATCTTTTCAAAATATATGTTGCTCACACATAGCACCCTTGGTAGCTTTCCTCCACAAAGACAAAAATCTGAGCAGGGATTGCAAGGCCCTGGATGATCTCGCTCTTGGCTCACCTCTCCAGCCCCTGCTCACGGCCTCCTCTTGCAAGTTCGGCTCCATCCACACTCTCTTATGTTCCTACTCATGACAACACCCTTGACCGCAGGGCCTTTGTGGATGCCACTCCATTCACTTAGAAGGTCTTTCCTCCCCACATTTGCCTAGTTCACTCCCATTCCACCTTCAGATTTCAGCCAGTATTTACTTCTGCTGCCAGTACTACTGCCTCGAACAACCACTTCAAAGCTTATTAACTCGAGACACAAACACTTCTTTCTCTCACAAATCTGCAATTAGAGGAGAAGGATTAGCTCTGCTCCATATGGCAGCACATGGAGCAACTCAAAGGATCCGTTTCCAAGGCAGTTCATTGTGTTGGTGGCTATCAGGTGTGAGCTCCGTTCCTCTCCCTGTGGGCACCTCCATGGGCCGCCAGCTTCCTCTAAGTATGGCAGCTGGGAGCCAGGAGCAGCCTCCCAGGACACAGGGAGGAGAAGCTGCCGGACCCTGGAGCCTGGTATGCTTTCACTTTTCACACATCCCATTAGGTCAGCCCGTCACAGTGCCTGGAGCCAAGAGGAAGTGGGGACAGACCCACCTCTAAATTGCAAGACTGTCAGAGAAGTTAGGGCCCGCGTTTCAAAACTGTCACAGCTTCCTCAAAGAGTTTTCCCCAGCTTCCCTTTCAGGCCAACTCCTCACTATGCGCTGTCAGAGCGCTGTGTCTCCTTCCTCTCCACACTTGCCTCAAGTGTGTGCGTGACTGTGCCTGTCTCCCCCTCCAGACTCTAAGCTTCAGGAATGGGGGCCGCATCTGTCTCATGCCTTGCTCCATCTGCTACGCCCAGCACAGAGAAGATGCTTGGTGACTATCGGTACACAGGCCTGAACCAGAGAACTCCTCAACAAGTGCAGGCTGAAGTTTTTCAGGCTGGTGCTCAGAAATGAAAAGGCCTTTGGAAAACAGGCAGAGGGCATGAATGAGGAAAGGAAGCGAGGAGCAAGGAAGGAGAGAGACTGAGTCTGGGGTGCGTGCGTTCTACAAAGGGGGATGTGCGCTTCAGTCCTCAGATCAGCTGAGTCTCGGCGGTGGTAACTAGAGCCTGAAAGATTTTAAGAGCCAAAGCTTTTCAATTTTTACATAAAATCTATCCAATTAAAAATATAGACCACACACACACACACACACACAGTAAGCTAACTAAAAATATGTCTGTGGGCTGAATTTTGCCCCCTCTATTCCCTATAATGCAGGAGTGCCCCCCCAAAACTTATTTCCTATAACTGAAATGGCTGGTCACTTAAGTATAGTATGAAATTTCTGCCCTTAGAATACACTTCAAAAAAATTTCTTGCCTGGTTTCTTTAAGAAAACACTTTCAGCCCTTAGAACGGTGTCCCAGTATACCACACCAGGTGACCTAGTTATCTTGTTGACTCTCTTTGCTCCTCCAGTAAGATATGCTCCACAAAGGCAGGGGTTGTCACCGCGCTCCGTTCACAAAATGAACCCAAAACCCTCATCCCTTGAGTCGGAATCATTACCTGACACATAGTCAGTGCCCAGTAATACCTTCCTGGCAAGAGAAGAAAGTGCTCAAGAAGCTGTGTCGCGGTTTAAATATAAAGTATTTCCCCCCAAAAGTCTCATGTATCGAGGACTCGATCCTCAGTGCAGCAGCGTTCGGAGGTGGGGTCTAGAGAGGCAACTGGATCATGGAGGATGAATCCGCTGATGAGTCGGTGGCTGAAGAGTCTCTAAGCAGGTGGGGCCCAGGTGGAGGACGTAGGCCCCTGGGCTCATGGCTTTGAAGGGTGTATGTGCTGCCAGGAAGTAAGCAACTTCCCTCCACCGTGTACCTCCACCGTGACGTTTTGGCCTTGGAGCCATTTACCAAAGACTGAAGCACTCTGCAGCCGTGAGCCAAAATAAGTCTTCCTTCCTTTAACTGCATATTTTACGCATTTGGTCCTAGCAACAGGAAGCTGACGAATACAAATTGCTACTTACTGTTCACTTTGTCCCTGTATCTGTGCTTGTCCTTCAGCACCTATGATGAGAAGAAACTGGGAGCCGGCCCGTTCCTTCCGATGTACAGCTGCATCCTCTTGCCCTTGCTGCCTGAGGCTCACGTGTAAGCAGTCTCACCTCCTGTCCGTCTGCCCTGCTAGCCGATCAGTGGAGGTTGGGTTCAAAAAAACCCCACAAGCTAACGTGCTGGGAGCTGTTGAGCTGGTCCTTTGTCCTCTTCAAAGGATTTGGGGCCTGAAGCCAGCACAGCTATGCAATGTATAAGAAAACAACAGAAAGTAAACACAGCACTTTAGACCTAGGTAGCAATCTGCTGGGACTTAATTGGCCCATTCCCTTACCGAGCCAGATGCTCTGATATCAGATATTTTGAAAGGCTTGATAAAATTTGGCTACAACCTTTGCCAGGTGTGTGCCAGACTGTCTCAGCCAAAGCTCGGGGGACACTATTTTCCCTCATCTCAAGGAACTATTTTCCTGAGACGCTTCTGTGGTCCGACGCCCCAGGACACGAGCTCCTTGCTGCACAGTAAACAGAGGCTAATCAGTTCTCTGAAGAATATTATTGCTTTCTAGAATATTCTTGCTTTCTAAAACCTTGATATCTTGTTCCCTTTGTGTCTCTTCCAAAGAATTACAGCTCCAATTTTTATTTTTATTTTTTTTCCTTTCTCACTCATTAGCACTTTTCAACTGAAACCTTTTAGGTGTAAGCTTTTGACTTTCCGGATGGGTTTCTCAAATTCAGCACTATTGGCATTTTGGAACCAATAATTCCTTATCATGAAGGGCTTTCCTTTGTGTTGTAGGGTGCTCAGCACACGTGGCCTCTAGGTAGCGGTAGCTCCACTCCCCCCAAACTGTGATAACCAAAAAGATCTCTAGACACGGTTGAATTTAGGGCAATAAATTCCTTGAGGCCAGTAATGCAGTGGATTCTAGACTTCTCCACCTGCTCATTTGTCAGGTAATTATTAGGCTCCCCCATCGCGTTCATAGTGCTATGACCACTACAACCCCTCTCTAGACATTATCTCATTCAGTCTTCTCAGCAGCCCTAGATACCTTTGTGCAGGTGATGTATTATCCCTTCTCTGCAGATGAAGAAGCAGAGGCTCAGAAAGGTCTACTTACTTGCCCATAGGCACAGACCTAGGGGTTGCATTGCAATTGGGCTTTAAGTCATCTCTGTCTGGCCTTAGACTCCAAGTTCTCATCAACACACACTGAATAGAAAGTGTTGCCCGCGCCCTTTCTTGTGATGAGCTCATGGCTTATTTGGAGAGCCACGTCCCCCACACATAAGGAGAAAAATCATGCCAGAGTGAAATCCTAAGACCAGATCAGACGGTATGCAAAGGAGAGCCTCGGTTAGAGTGCTGAATCTACAAGTAGAAGATGTGGCATCATCATCATCACCAGAAGCACATAGCACACGTCTCCTCGTCCCCCTCTAGTAGTCCAGGCTGTGATGAGCCCCGCTGCCCAGCACTTTCCTCCTCTTCCCTTTGATTGATATTATGATTGTTTTCTTGGTAGACCTGTTTGTTCTGGGTCATCCCAACTGGCAGCCTAACGATGTTCTGAAAACATCTCCTTGCAAAAATAGACCTTGTCATTTCTCATGTTCCTGAGAAATATTTGCACTGTTCCCTGCCTCTCTCCTAGACAAGCCCTCTGAAACCAGGGAGTTTTCACTGTCCTCTGAATCATCTGAGGATGGGATTGGGGGACACCTGAGAAACGCATATTCCTTCCCCATCCCATTCTATTTACTTAATCTGAATACACTGAAACTTCAATCAGCTATGAAGTGACTGTGGGGAAAACCAAAGCCCAGAGGACAGAACTTACAACGGTCTCACAACAGGAATCTTGATCTTGTGACTCCTAAGTCAGATCTTTACCCCAGCTGTATTAGTCAGCTTTTCCATCACTGAACACAGTGCCCAACTCTTGTAACCCAATGTGGCTCATAGTTCCAGGAATTCAGTCCATGGTCAATTGGCTCCAAGGCAGAAATATCACTGTGGAAGGTCATGGCAGAGGAAAGCCACTCACCTTATGTCAGCCAGGAAGCAGAGAGACAAGGGAGGAGCTGGGGTTATATCCCTAGTGATCTGCCTCTTCTGGCCAGGTCCAACTCCTAACACATTCAGCTGTGAACTTATGAGTAGACGACTGAGCATAGTGTCCTTGTGATTCAGTCACCTTCCCAAAGCTCCACCTCTGAACATATGAGAGACTTTGGGGGGACGTTCTAGATCTAAACCATAACAGTAGGCTATCATTGTATTATTGTCATTATTACAGTGGATGTTGTTATTATTCGTTATGTCCTTAAAGAGCCAGACAGTAAATATCTTAGGCTTTACAGACCAAAGTTAAATATTTAACTTTGCCATTGTAACATAAAAGCTACAGTGATGGTTTGTATTGGATGTGTTCCAATAAAGTTTTATTGGTAAAAACAGATGGTAGGCCCACGAGCTGTAGCCTGCCAACCCCTGCCCTAGACTGAAGACTGTCCGTTCTGCTCCTTGGCTATACAAAGGCTCTGGCCTCATTTAATGACTGGATCAGTTACATATTGCTATATTATAAACCAGTTCAACTGGAGTCGCTTAAAACAGCAACCATTCATTACTGCTCCCAAGTCTCTTGGTTGGCTGGGTGGTTCTGCTGATTCAGGTACTGACTGCTCCTGGCTGAGTCTGTGTGCATCCAGCTGATGCATGAGCTGGAGGTTGGCTGACCTAGGATGGCCTTTGGGTCTTGGGATGAGAATAGATATAGTGGCCCTTTTACCACATTCTACTGGTCAACTAAGTCATCAGGCCAGCCCAGGTACAAGGAGTAGGAAAAAAGCCCACCTCTTGATGGGGGACAGCACCAAAGTCACCTTGCAAAGTGTGCAAAGCAGAGAGGGATAAAGAATGGTGAGTGCATTTTTGAAATCAGTCTACCCAAAGCATCAGGGTAGGCCCTATCTGATCAGTTATGGAACTACCAGTGGTCACATCAAATGTGAATCAGAGCCTCATCAGCCATTCCATCCCAATGTGACTGATCCCACAACTGCCCAATAATTCTGAATAGAGCTAAGTGTGGTGGTTCATGCCTGAAATCCCAGCACTCTGGGAGGCTGAGGCAGGAAGATCTCCAGTTTAAACTCAGCCTGGGCAACTTAGCAAGACCCTGTCTCAAAAACATAAATAAAACATTAAAGGACTGGGGATGTAGCTCAGTGCCAAGATACTGGGTTCAATCTCCAGTACTGAAAATAATAATGATGATAATAATAATTCTGAATGGACTGTGTTGGAATCAATTCTTTAAAAAATGGGAGGAGATGCTGTGTGAGACAGAGACCCTGGCCCCTGTCTGTCCTCTGGTCTGATGCGGCTGTCCCCCAGAGCCTTTTGTGAGCAACTACACAGGAAAAGCAGTGCTTACAACCTGTGTCCAGATTTTCTCTTGGCCATCAGCATGGGACACTTGGAATGGCTTTGTACACAGTATCTGTGCTCCCTGGTACAAGAAAAGAACACTGTTTCTTCACAGGGGTGTTTGCACCCACTGCTGCATTCTGGTTGGCACAGAAGCTTTATCAGCGAGGCTGCTCACAAGCACTAGCACTCAACCTGAGTCCTGAGCTCCGGCATTGCATAAGCAGGCCTTGTGCATCCATGTTTTATCTCACCTGCCCTGCATTTAAGCAAATAAACACTCTCTCTTTTAATCGGGTACAAATCCAAGATATTGTGCTATGACCTGGCACGTGAATGACTGCTATGAAAAAGGACTGATTTGCATTAAGCATACTTCTGGGGACATGTCTTTACCTTTAGTCATTTTCACTGCAGATTAGATGAATGATCACTGGGTTTCAAACTTTTTATAAACAGAGAAAAGGACCTGAAGTACGGGAACCCATTGGATGAAAGTTGATGGAAAGGGAAGCCTCTGCCTTATCACAAGAGACATTAACATGGAAGTCAGGACACAAATTTGAGAGCCAGACCACCTGGACTCTGATTCCAACTTGAGCAATTGCTGACTTTTGTGACGTTGGACCAGTTTTATGACTCTATGCCTCACTTGCCTTATTTGAAAAATGAGGATAATCATGGTAACTTCACAGGGATGTTTAAGGTTGACCTTAGTTCAAGCATGTTGAGTATTTAAAACAGTGTCCAGCAGAGTAAGCACCCTGTGGGACATATTTACTATTGTTTTCATTAATTTGCTGTTACTATTACTATCTGCCACCTCAGTGGTGTGTCCGTAAGAACTGTGACCCCCAAGTGATCAGTTCAGGACAATGTCAGCTGTGCACCAGTTCATCCTACCACCTTCCACGCAGCAACTAGAAGTGAGTTGAGCCGGGTCTGTGCCCAGCACACAGAGCCAGAGGGGCAGGATGGAGTAAGACTCTGTAGCTTGTAGGCTGGTGGGCTGGAGGGACAAAGAAACAGGCAGTCATAACAGAGCAGAGACCTGAAGTATGGGAACACATTGCAAGGATGGAATGCTGAGAGAGCCTCACCCAGACCTAGAGTAATCCAGGGGCCTTCCTGCTGGAGGTGATACCTGAGCTGAAGCCTGGTCACTGGCTGAAGCCAGGGGAGGAGGAGGACACATGGGAAGAGTGGAAGCCACAGGAGTGGCTGGGGTCTCGGATGTGATGGTGCGTGGGTGACTGAGACAAAGACTTGGATGCCGGAAGTGCAGGATGGAGGTGCTGTCAGGGTCGGTTTATCCCGAGGCCTCTCTTGTTGGCTTGCAGACAGCTGGCTTCATCCACATCTGCACAGGGGCTTTCTCCTGCCTGGAGTCCGGATTTCTTCATTGTATAAAGACACCAGTCATTTAATTGGGGCCACCTTCATGCTTCATTTTAACTGAATCACTCCTTTTTTGTGGCGCTGAGGGTTGAACCTCAGGGCCTTTGCCCTGAGCTACATCCCCCAGGTTTTTTTTTTTTTTTTTTTTTTTTTT